TATTAGTGCTGTTTCTCCAGTTTAACCCTGGTAATTAAACATAACATATATCTCCTATTAGTGCTGTTTCTCCAGTTTAACCCTGAACTACAATAGAAGTAGGAATCTGGAAGTGGAGTAACATACAACTGAATGTGGATGTGACTTTGGAATAGGGCGGTGGACAAAGCCTGGGAGAATTTTGAGGACTACGAGAGACAAAGCATAGCTGGCCTTGCATAGAATGCAGGCAGAAATGTGTTGCTGACCCTAGTAGCGAGCACGCAGAAGCCATAAATACCACGGTAGAGAAGATCTGTACCCTATTACAGAACACTTAACTTCTCATTTAAAAGACTATTGGTAGAAATAAGAAACACATCAGGACTATAGGAAAAGTGAAACTTGTTATACAGTAACAGAAAGCTTATTGGATTTGTGTCCTACGGTTAGGTGAACAGCAGAACGTAACAGTGAAGTTGAATATTTACTGAAAAGAATTCCAAGCAAGTCGCTGAGGGAAGAGAGTGGCTTACTGCTGAGAATGAAATAAAGACAGAGCAGAGAGGTAGATGGGAGAATTGTTGAAGAGAAAGGAACTGGGACTTGATGATTTGGGAAATTTTCATTCCATCCCAATTGAAAGATGCTAAAATTGGAAGATGTGTCATAAAGAAAGACCAATCCAGAGAGAGGGCAAAGATGTGGTCAGTTTGCTACTCTTTCAGAAGGATGGAAAGGTTAGAGAACTCCATCACACAGACATTGTGGGAGAAATTCAGTCATGTGACCGGTGTGTCTTCTCAACCCTCTGGACAAAAGCAGAAGGAGCTGCAGCATTGCCCAGGAAAGCCTCTGGAGGACTCTTTATCTAGTGGAGGACCCCCTCACACGGTCACAGGCGATCTGCCACTTGAGAAGTTCATACCAGCAGGAACACTTCCCACTTAGACAGAGAGAGAGAGAGAGAGAGAGAGAGAGAGAGAGAGAGAGAGAGAGAGACTGCTGTAAGAGAAGGCTGCTGGGATCCCACAGTGCTACGTGCAGGAGACTGGTTGGTAGATCTACTCAGCCACAGCCAGGACATCCGTCATGTAAGAAAGGCTACTGCAAGCTTTGGTCCAAAACTGAAGCTTTCAGTGTCAGATTATTCCCAGGGCTGAAACCTAATGGGGTTTGCCATGCAGGATTTCTAATTTGCTTGGACAATAATTATTTTCTTCTGTTTTCTCCATGTTTGGAGAAATGATGTGGCTTGTATCTTACTTCTGTATTGTGATTATATTTTGGAAGAAAAAAATACTGCTGTGTGGAAGGAAAGAATAAATGAGCTATACTTATAAGTTCATAGATGTCCAATCTGCATGAGACAGTGGCTACACCCCCTAGGAAAAAGAACCCAAGTACAGTCTTTAATTTTGTTCAAGACAGCTTACAATGAAAATAGCAGTTAAAAACTTTGAACTTAGTGTCAGATTGCATAGAGTTGAACCCCAATTCACCCATGTGACCTAAAGCTACATGCTAGTAACCTCACCGTGCCATAGTTATCCACAGAATTATGGCACTGACTATAACTTCTTCACAGGAAAATTGTGAACAACTGTGCAATGAAATTGAAATCCTGCACAGCAGTGTTAAGGAAAAATGGAAAAGGAGAGGGGGTGTGTGTACACACACACACACGCACACACACACACACACACACTTGTTGTCATAATAATGATTGTGAATAATGTACAATATGTTGCTGAGCCCAGAGTAAGCTCTAACTCTGTATTTATTTATTGAGATGTTTGACAGAATCGATGACGCTAGCTTTTGTTGTTATTGTGTTGCTGTTGTAGACAAAGAAGCCAGATCTAGCGAGCATGTAGAGACAACCTAAATAACCCTGCTAACTTGATTCAAAGGTCCCAAGAATGGAGAGCATAAGTGTGGCTGCTCTGAGGTTCTTTCTAACTTGGGGAAGGCACCGGCATATTCTGACTAGGACATCTGAAATACCACTGCAGATCCCTACTTGTGATAAGCGTTCCCTTCTATAATCTCTCCCCAGAGGCACTCTCCTTGGACAGGAATAAAGGCGATTGTTCTACAGCTGTAGACTGTGGCATGCAGGGCCTAGGAACCAAGAGTCTGGATACCGTGGGTCAAGGCCGACTTCATGGGTACATTGCCTTGGTGCTCACCTCTTCATGCTGATCTAAGAGTCAGCAAGAAAGCCCAGCTCACCGCAGACCTCCTCTTCCCTGCCTTGTAGAGATCTTCTGGTACCCACAATATTAACCGTGCCTCGCTATGACTCTTGTTCCTTTGCCTATTCTCTCATTTCTTCATTTCTAAACCTCTGCAAAAGATAGAGCATAAAGATGAGTAAATGTTGTCCCTGACCTTAGGCACCAAGGACCCTAGAGATTCGACCAGAAATTAGGGTAATAAGTCTTGGCCTTAAGAGTATGATGAGGATTCGGTGAGGTCCTTTGCAAAGTCCTTTTATAAACTCTGGTGCATGACTACTGTGTGCTGCCGTCAATGCTTAGTACAGCTGTAAGGAGCATCACAGAACGTCAAGCCCACTGGTTCTTGAACTTATGTTCATACAGATCACCTTGGTAAAGTACCAGAGCAGCCTCTGCCTCCAAGGCGTCCAGTTCTGCAGGTCTGTGGTGAGGCTGGAGGGTTTGGATTCCCAAGTTCTCAGATAATACTAACGGCGCTGCTCAGGGGCTGCCCTCTGGGAGCCTCACTTAACTCCAGCGCCCTCGGTGACAAACGAAACCCTGAGGCTCAAAGAGAGTGAACAGATCCAATCGTAACCTAATCAAAATGACTCTTTGGCGCCACCTGTCGCTGTTACTAGGATGCCTCTCTGACAGCTGCACCTAACTCTGGATGTCCTCATCCTATCGACCTGGGGCCAGCAGCAATGGTAGGTGAGGGGAGTGGTGGTGTCCCTGGACAGAGATGCTGTGCAGCTGAGAACTCGTGCCTCAGCCACCAACCACTCTGCAAGCCACTGTGTGCTGGGTGTCCGTGGTGACATAACAGTTCTCCTCAAAGTCTAGACGCCCAACACAGCGCACTTTCTCTGATTCTGATGCTTAGCTTTACGTCTCCCAAGGCTGCAGTCAAGGTGCTGGGTAGAGGTGAGGTCCTGACTGAGGAGTCTCTCTCCACGTTCGTTTGCATTGGTTTCAGCAGCATTCAGTGACTCGGGCTTTTACACCCAGGGCCTCGATGCCTCACTTCCTCTCAGCCAGAGACCTCCCTCAGCTGTTTGCCTTCTAGGCGTCTCTGGTTTGGCTTTGTCAAAGTCAGGCAAATAGAGGCACAGGGAGTGCACGAGGGGGGTGACAGTCACCTTTTGTTACCTGTCTGGGAAGGTGACATTTATCGTGTTGTCTGTGTTCTACTGGATAAAAGCAAGCCCCAGATTTAGCCCACTTTCAAGGTGAGAGGATCACCCCAAGGTGTATACCAAAGGCACAGTTGAGTGAGACCCTTGTCCCCAGCCACCTGCCGCATCACCCTGGGAACCCAAACCTGCACTTCACAGGCGAGGACAGGGATGCTAAGAGACAGCCAGTGGCTCACATGAAGTCACACAGGGACCCTGTCTGCTTCCACCTCTAATACCTCACCACTAACTTCTCTGCACATGAGCTCCACTGCAGACATCGTAACCAAGAAATGGCTTAGAAACTGAGAAATGAAAATTTCTGCTGGGCTAAAAGCTTACAAGCTTATCATATCAAAAGTGGAATTCAAATAAAACTCAGAAGGCATCTGCTTAATCATTGAAAAGTAAGAACCCAGGAGACAAAAATGCAATATAACATCCAAAACCCAATCATTTGTTTTACCTTCTGTTCAAATCACCCAGAAACAAGCATTTCCCTTTTGGATCTTACACATGCAGTCTGGGGGGTAATTTTCCTGTCTGCAAAGAGGATGCATAACCCTGCCTGACCCTGCCAGGCTCTCCTATATTATCCAAAATGAAATGTACCTTGCAGAGCTATATCATAGATCTCCCCCAGTGATACTTATTTCCCGGCTGCTGAAGAGAAAGGCGAAAACGCATGTCATTCCGTTCCAGGGTCTATCAGGTGCCACTCTCTGTAAGGTACACGCCATGTTCTGAGGGCCCAGAAGTGAGCCTCCAGACCCAGAAGGGAAAATACCTTTTAAACATTACAGACAATTAATTATCTGGAGGTGGGTGCCGAGTGCTATGTAAACGTATAACAAGGAATCCCAGCCCAACACAGAGGTAGAGAAAGATGTGGTCAACAAACTGAAGCCTGAGAAGGGCGCATAAACTGCATGTTCTATTCTTTTTCTAAGCAAATAGAGAAAACAAGAGTTTTTCAGCCATTTCTCCAGGGTAAAGCACTGATTTTACTGCTAAGGTTGAATCCGAGTACAGAAAATAAAGATCATCTTTACACATGATCAAGAAGGAGCAAAAGAGCCCTGGTTGACTGTAACCACTGGTCTCAGTGGTCTCACTGGAGCTCCGGGTCTACGGGCCGGCAGTTGGTCCCAGAGTTAACCAGCCCGCTGCCTATCTCTGACAGCAGAGCTCGGACCCACGCCTGCTCCCCACTCAGGAGGGTGGCTGCTCCATCCTGAACAGGGGGACTGTTTTCAGATCCAAACCAGGCCAGGGCAGCCCTGTGGGTTGAGGAGAGAAAGCGCTCAGTACAGCTTGGTTCTTCCTTCTGGGGACAGGGTGACTGGGGGAAGCCAGCTTCCCAAGAAGAGGAGATTTTAAAGATTAGTCTTTGGAAATTCTCATTAACGATGAGTCATTAGTGATAAATCATTCATGAGCCCCTTCCCGACAGCGATGGATAAAGGGATGCATCAGAACAGAGCGCTCTGAGCAAAAGCTGGGGTGCCAGCTCTGAGGAGAACTGGACCCCTGCTCTCCCCCGAGGCCGGCGCCTCTGCTCCCGTGGCCACAGGCTTCTCAAAGCACCTTTACAGTGCCATCTAGTGGAGCTCAGCGTTTCTGCAGGACGGGCCCAGCGCCTGGCTTCCAGGCCTGACTCTCAGTCCAGCTCCAGCCAAGGTGGACTGTCCGGCTCTAAACTTCCAAGGTGCTCTTATCCGAGGAGCAACACCGGACACCGTCTTTGCCATTACTTGATACGTGAGTCTCCTATAGCTATAAAGTGAAGAGAAGCCACAGTTAAATCTAGCTCTGTTATACGGGGGGAAATTGAAATGCTGAAGTTGGAGTATTTGGTTAGTAGAGAGCAGAAAGAGAAGAAGAGGAGAGAGAGACAGTGCTAAAATGGAGCCACAGATGACACTCATGAGGATGAGCTGACCCTGGCATGCCCTGGTGTGGCTGAGAGGTCCTGGACGGGGAGAGCTCGCAGGCTTTAGCATAAGGGTAGAAGCTGGCTCCCTTCATAGTGGTGGGGCAGCAAGAGCGTGATACCTCCCCACCTCTCCCTCCCTCCCTCCCTCCCTCTCCCCCCTCTCCGTGCAGCTCTGTTCCCTCATCTATAAGGATTCACTGTCTAACTGAGCCTCCCGTGGATATTCCTAAGATCGCATGAAGACACAGAAGCTCCTGCCAGTAGAAGATACTTACGGATGTTCAATCCCCTCACTCCGCCTCTATCAAGCTCTCAGTTGATTTTTGGCTCAAACCTTGCATTGTTTTTACTGGGCCACTTGACCTTGGCTTTGATCTTCCAAACCTTCCTAGTCCCAACCCCACGGCCACCCAGCTCCCCATCCTCACAGTCTTCTTCCCGAGGAAGTCGGCAGTGCTGACCGCAGCGTCCATGGCCAGCCCAGTGTCTCCTCCCAGAGTTTGCTGCAGACCTCTTCATGCTTCTTCTGCCTGCTCCTTACAAATAATCTGACCCAGGCAACTGTCCTCCCCAGGTGTGCTGCTCATGACAGCATCTGCACGCGCCAGGGCTGCTGACTCTGCACCTGGGGCACTGCCTGGCCCTTCTTTACCCACCTTCTCTCACCTTCAGAGCTCTATTTTGCCTTCGTTCATCAGGACATCAGTTTGTTGCCCTGATGGGATGACACAGCATTTGGCCTCTCCATTCTGCAGCTCAAGCGCACAAGGCCTGCAGCTAGAAGAACAATAAAGGAGGGCAAGGTTTTAACTCAGTGCGCAGCAGTATGTATAGGGACCCTGTTCCTTTGAAAACTCTTCTTTTTTTCTGGAGGAAAATTATCATTTTTTTTAAAAAAGGCTTCCTTCCTCGCTGATGTTGGTTTGGTCTTTTCAGAGGCAAAAATAGTATTTTCCCCAAGAAAGGTGATTTTCATCCCGTGAAGCCTACAGACAACGGAATTGATTTTTCAGGCCGAAACAATTTTAGAGTCTATTTATCTTCTCGGGATGATGTCCTCCACCAAATCATTCTGTCATCTCTTTGCTGTGAGTTTTGTAGCAGGAGGTTGTAGACCTTCATGCTGAAAAATAAACAGATTCCACCTGTCCCCCTGCTGAAAGCCCCTTTGCCCCAGCCCCAGAGATAGAAAACTCTAGAGAAGGAATAAAACATTTCCATCTATGCAAAGGCAGGATAAGGGGCTTTTTTACTTTATAGTTTCAGATTCATTTTCCCCAAGAGCTCTACAAAAAGGTGATTTTTACAGGTAAAATTTAGTAAAGCTAAAAGAAAGATGTTGTAAAATAAACTACATGAAAGACTCAATTTCCACATTTTATTTTCTTCCTAATAGAAGATTTAGAGAGAGAAGATTGAGATATGAATTTTACTTTTTCATTAAAAAACATATACTGGTTTAAAAAAGAAACAATATAAAAAGTCTCCATTTTCTCTGTCCCCAAAGGCGCCCTGTATATACCACTTTTTGTGTGTACAGAAATCAAGTCCTATCCTTAACCTTTCCTCAGTATTTTGGAGATCTTTTTGTATCAGTATTTTAACTCTACTTCATTTTTTTCAATGACTGCATATTATGTTTTTATGAATGTAGCAAAGTTTGTTTACCCAGATCTTGCTTGATTCTTTCTGGGGAATTCAACAAAGAGCTGTTACAAACTGATTCAAAGTGTGTGGTTATATATTTTGATGAGTGGTCAGATCTTCATGATGTATTGAGCAGGGGAATTGCCCTGTCACTGTGGTGAGAGTGGAGAAGAGAGTGCAAATCCTTCCAGTTGAGAGGTTTGCAAGTCGAATTAGCAAGTAGGTGCTAGATACTTAACATATCTACCCAATCCTGCAAAGAAATTGATAAAAATAAAAGCCATATGAGGTAGCAGATAAGCACATAGGTCTTGCCATTTTGAAATTGTCTGCCACTAACAATAGCTCTTTGGACTCCTTTCTCTTTCTTCCTTTCTTTCTTCCTTCCTTTCTCCCTTCCTTCCTTCCTTTCTTTCTTTTTTTCCTAGCTTTTTCCTGTTTCCTCTTCTTACCTTCTCCCTATCAGGCTGTACATGAATAGCTTTGATAAAATCACAATGATGGAAGCCTCAATCCAAGTGTCACCCTCCTGAATTTAGGTATAGATAGCGCACTTTTATAGCTGATCAGTCTTCATTGATGCTTAGCAATTCTTAGTGATGAATCAGTACTGGGCTGAGGACCACAAGACTCCCATTGCTAACCATATGCTTTACCTCTCCCTGTGGTCATAAATTCCTGGCACTTTGTGGATTTCTTCTCCTAACCTGGAGTTTACCAGTCTACTTGCCTTCTAAAGCAACTTCATTCCATCCTGGAAGTATGCATCATGCTTGTATGAGTTAGCTTCCTTGTCACTGATACATAACACTTAACACCCACAACTTGAAGGAGGACAAGTTTACTCAGCTCACAGTTTCCGGGGACTCAGTCCATGGTCAACTGGCTCCAAGGCAGGAGCATCATGGAGGAAGTGCTTGGTGGAGCAGAGGTGCTCCGTTTTTGCTGTCTGGGGAGCAGATCAAGGCAACAGTGCCAGACAGGAAGGAGCCAGGGCCTAGATGGTGACCGGGGTCACACCCAGCTGCCCCAGCGGACATGCCCAGAAGTGTGCTCTGCTAATCCCCTAAATATCGTACATGCCAAGGCTGGGAACAACCAGGAGCGGTGTCTCACAAGTGCACATGAAGGCCACCTTCCTCAGTCTCTCCCTCGCCTGCTGTCCTCTTGTGCACATGGCAGAGATGCAGAAGGTCCACCTGGGAAAGCCTGACCTGCTCTGGACCGGCTGTGGGCTTCTGCAAGGAAAATCCGGGCAGGGTGAGGGGACAGGGAATTCTGTGTCTGTTCTGAGAGTTCAGCTGTCTAAAATCCCAACTTCGTCCCACTGCAGTTTCTTCACCTCTGCCGGCCCCTCCTGCATTATTCCTCACCGTCCTGGGAACGCTGCTTTTCTCTAATACCTCACTGTCCACAGTGCAGATTTTGAGAAAACTCCGTGCTTAGAACTCTAGCTTAGTTCTTGATGTGGGAAGGGAAATTTAGGGATTTGGTAAGTTTTTATTGTCTTAATAAAAGCTAGTCTTTTAAGACTACTGACTTGCTGCTGACTAAAGGATGCCCTAAGTTGTAGTTCACTCAGTGTGTTCCACATTTCGTGTCTGCCTGCCCTTCTCTGGAGCCAAGCTACTTAGTGAAGTAGCCTCTTCACTAAGGACCGGAGCCTCAGGCCGTAGTGACTTCCTGGGAGTGAATATATGTGGGGAAAGCTCAGCAATAGATTATATTTTTGAAAATTGCCAAGAGAATACATCATAATGGTTTCACCTCAAAGAACAAGTCATATGAAGTAAGGCATGTGTCAAGTCCTTCAATATAGCTGTCCCACAACGTGTATTTGGAAAAGAAGTGTCATATACAATTAATACACCGCATACAATTTTAGGTGTCAATCTAATTAATTAATTAATTAATTAATTAAATACGTAGTGGGGCTAAAAGTCCTAAAGACAGAGAAATAATAGCTTTAAAGCAGAAATGAAGAAAGAGAAATTTGTCATTTGCAAGTAACTGATACCTAATCTTTCTCAATGTGCACTGCAAGAAATGCTAGAGTGACTTCTTCAGCTGAAAGGAAAGGATTCTTGATGGACCCTCAGGGTTTTAAAAGAAGAGATGAACAAACATCAGAAATGGTAAATGTCTTGGTAAATGTTTAAAAATTACTTTTGTCTTAATTTCTTTAAAATTCATACAACTCTTTAAGGTTGGTGTTAGAACACCATCTTGCTTTTCATTGTTTTGTTTTTATTTTCTTAGTACATGTTTGCAATTTGTGCAATTTGCATGCATCTTGGGGAGTGGGTACATTTTCATATTGCAGCTTTTTCCTTTTTCTAACCTCCTTCCCTCCTCCTCTCTCTCCTCTCCGACTTGCCCTATTCCATCTTTCGTTCTTGTTGATAGTATTAAACTTAGCTCACATTATGGGCAATAATGGAGGTTATTAGCTTCCTGCACGTGACACATCTTCATTCCGCTATTTCCCCTCCCCCTCTCCTCAGCCCTCACCCTGCTTCCCTTGGACCACTTCCCTATTTCAAGAGATCCATCCCCTTGGTTTCTTCTATCCACAGACGAGGAGCCCGAAGCTGGGGATTCCAAGTAAAATGGTGAGAAGTGGCTGAGAAAGGACTGGACACTGGTGGCTGCTTCACAGCGGTGCTCCTCCACCAGCCTGAGGTGGGTGGGCTAGAGTGTGCACTGGACAGGGCTGAGAGAAGCCGAGAGGTGGCCAGATTGCGAGGGAGCTGAGCTCATCAGTGTTACTGAGTGCAGAGCTGAGTGGCCGGTACCATGGAGCTAGGCTGGAAGAACTGGGCCCCTGGTAAAGCCTTCGGCATGGCTAAGCTTCATTGTGTCAAGATCTTGGCTTGGAAGCCACCTAGGAAATTGGTGGGACACCCCACTAGGAGTGTCTGGGGGTCATGAGAGTGTGGCCTTCGGCACTGTAACTCTTTCCTGGCTCCTCCTCTCCAGCGCTGCTACCCTCCTCTGCTTCACAGCTGCCCTGAACTAAGCAGCTCTGCTTGGCCAGGTCCTTTCTCCATGAGGCTCCTGCCTGGGAGCCAGGTGGCTATGAACTGAATCTCCTGAAACCATGAGCCATATTAGATCTTTCCTCCTTTAAGCTTTGAGTATCAGATAATGTGCTGCATCTCAGCAACAAGAAACCTGACTGACACACCCTGGAAGAGTCTACATTTTCTCCAGCTCTTTCCTTCTGTCTGCCTCCTGGCGGCCATGGGGTGAGCACTTTCTTCCACAAGGACCTTCTGCCATGATGTTTGCTTCTTAGAGCAGCCAACCATGGACTGAAACCTCCGAAACAGTGAGCCAAAGTAAACCTCTCCTCCTCTGAGCTGTGCATATCAGACATTTGTTCAGTGACACAAGAATGACTGATGTGCTATCCTAGCAGAGGCTGCAGACCATGCTGTATGTGCTGAGGCTTTGAGTTTTAATGAGGCAGAGATGACATACTCTTCCACTTCTGCATGGGCTCAAAAATAAAAACATTTTGTCCACTAAGAAAGTGAAAGATCACTGCTGAACCCTAGAGGAGAAAAAGCAAGAAATGAAGACCTTTTGAAAATGAAGGCCACTGAACCTAACCTGTGGACAATAAAGCCAAAAGTTCTGTAAGCTAACAAAATCGGAAACAATATGAGACATAAACCCTTCTTTAGGGGTGCCGGCTCCTCAAAATCAAAGAGTATCAAGGAGACATTTCACACTTCATGACATCAATAAAAACCAGGGCTGGCTGAAATATTCCTGTAGTTCCTAGAACTTGAAGCCCCCAACCTTTTACGTCTTGTTTTCATAAACTTTTATTTTCTCCTGTTTTCCAAGATCCTCTGCCAAGTAAAGGGGAAGCTATATCATCCTTGCCTTTGAAGAGCAAATTGTCTATTTTGGGAAACACCTGTAATAGAATATGATGTGGAGGGAGATATTTTAGGAAGCGTTGGCAGTGGGGTATGAGGAGCATGTCAGACACAAAATGGGGTACGGTGATGTTACAGAGAAAGGACCAATCAACACTGCCTAGTGGGCCACAGAAGGCTTTTGATGGAGTTGGCTGGGTTGAGTTTTAAAGCATTAAAAGACGTTAGTAAGAATATTCAGGACAGAAGAAGCCATGCTGCAAAGGCCCCATGGCATGAAAAGTCAGGTCATTCTCCTAGATGCTGAGGCAGCTCCTTTTCCTGTACAACAAAAGTAACCTGAAGTAGGATACCGGGAAAGGAGGCGGGGAGATGGGCAGCAGCAACCCATCTTCCGTAAGCACCTAGGAAATGACTTCTCAATACAGTACTGACTTTAAAATATTATCAATAATTAAAAGACTGTGTACCTTAATATATTTCTGAAAACATGAAAAGACTAAGTAGAAATACAGGTTGCTCAGCTGGATGCCCTCAGGAGACAGGCAAGTGTCAGCAGTTCCGAGCACAGGAATAGGCACACAGTCAGGCAAGGGAGAGTAAAGGCTTGAAGGAGGTTAAGGTGACACCATGTCGAGACCTAAATAGCAGTTCGTACAGGGAAGTGGGAAAGGAGTGGTATATGTGGGAATAGCTGAAGGGCATGGTATGCATATACATGTATGCAAAACAAAACCCATGATTCTGTTTAGCTAATAAGCACAAATTTTAAAAAAGACAGAGTGTTTTGAGCTCATCATTCTAGGTCCAGGTACAACTAAGCAGATGAACCCTAATCATCTCACCTGTCTTTCAACAATTCAACGAATATTTATCGAACCTTTGCTTTGTGCCAAGACTCGTTTTAGATGTAAGAAATACCATATGGGACAGAAAATTTTTTCCTACCTCTTGGACCATGTGTCATGGAGGAAAGAAACAAAATAGTACCACAGAAGAGAGACTATGAGAGGGTGACAAGGAATACTGAGGAAAAGAAAACAAAGAAGGATGCTAGCAAGTGTGGCCTGTGTGGAAGAGAGGATGGCATTTTATAAAATACTAAGAAAAGGCCTCTCCTATAAGGCAGTGCTTGCACGGACTGAAAGGAAGTAGTGGACTGGGATGTGAAGCTGAGGAAGAACGTGTCGGAGCATCACACAGGAGGTCTCTGTAGTCAGATAAACCGGTGAAGAGAGAGAACGGTAAAGGTGAACCGAACCAAGAGGGGCAGGGCAGGTGCAGGGGACCTCGGGGAAAGTGGGGAGGGCATCCCTGCTTGCTTGGATGGGTTTCATTTATGGCTGCTTAAGGACACAGTTATTTAAGAGACCTTGTTTCTCATCTTCTAGTCTGAATGAGGCCAGAAGCATTTAGGTGAATTTAAGTAGAAGGATGACAGTATCTAACTCACAATTAAAGAGCTTGCTGCAGCTTCTGGGTTCAGGGGAGGCCGCTGAGTTAGTTCAGGCCAGAGAAGGGGAAAGCATGGGTCAGGGAGTCAGGAGTGAGGACAGCAGGAAGCAGCGGGCTCTGGTTATACTGATGGTGAGGATTTGGTGACACATGGGGTCCAGGATGTGAAACACTCAGAAACACTCAGGTGTGCTCCCAACATTTCTATGTGTTCTTGATGCTTAGTCTGAACTTGACCTTTTACCTAAGAAACAACATGGGTTTTTATCATTTATTTTGAAACAGTTTCAAGTCTATAGAAAAAATTGGAGGTTAGTATAAAGACATCTACAACCCTTTCATTCTTTTCCGCCAAGAACGACTCCAAGAACTGGAGCCAGACTACCTGGAAGTTGGTTACTAATCTCTCAAGAAATGGATTTCCCTTAACACCAGACGGGGGATTCCCCAAGTTGAAAGCCCCCAGGATGCTAGCAATACTCTTGGAGTTCCTCATTCCACGCTTAAGAATCTGTCTTAAACACAGAATCGTTTAATAGGAGCAAAAATACATGTTTGCTAGAATCCTAACCACAGTATGTAGAAAAGATGAAAATGTAAGTGATGGAAACGCTCATCCCTAGGGAGAGAGCTTTATAAATTATGACAGAGTAATAAGATACAAGAAAGCAGATCTTATACAGAAAACTATATAGAAACGTGGGGGAATTATATACATGACATTTAAAAGGACACTACAGGGCAAATGCATATTGATTCCAATATCACAAATATCTCTGTTTGACAGCTAACACAAAAATCAAAATATTTGCTCATAAAGTGGTAGACTTTAGATCTGAGTTTTCAATAAAAATGTTCTTATTTGATTCTTTTCAATAACAACAAAAAGAGTGTTTGACTCAGGAAAAGACATCCTGCTTTGACTGAGTGAGCCAGTTAATTCCCTGCATCCCCTCCTGTTGTAAAAATCTCCTGGCCTTGTGTTCATAGGATGACAATGAAGAACAAAAGAAGGGGAAGAGGAAGAGGCTGGAGTCCAAGGAGAAGCGGAGGAGGCCTGGCTTCTCCCAGTGTCTCTCACGTTCCTCAGGAAGCTGCCCTCCTTCACGCCACCAGCCCCAAATCCCTAGACTGTGGTCAGCCTACCTCAGCACTCCACAGTGTGCGTGCATGTGTGCTTTGAATGCGTGCTTTGAGTGCGCGCGTGCATGCTGTGTGTGCGCGTGTGTGCCTGCTTGCGAGCATGTAGCTAAAGAATGAAACCAGAGCCTTGGCCAGTCTGGGTGAGAGCTGCATCCCTGAGCTGTATCCCACCCACCTGGTACCTGTTTAACACGTGTCGGATTCGTGGTCACCGTTACCCTCCCCTGCCCAGCCCAGGGCTCCCTCTCCAGACCCCTCAGGAGGGCCTGGGGCAGGTGTTCTCTGGTAGCCCTGAGGCCCTTTCAGCATGTTCCTGAGCTCCATGTAATTTTATAATAACATGTTTGCCTTTTTCATATTTATTGTCTCATGAATGTACCAATTGAAGGCAGATGTGAGAATCCAGCTGTCTTCTACGAAGCTGTGTATTAAAAAGATTTGCAGAAATGTACAAATGCCAGTCTTTTCACTAAATGGTGGTTGTTTTGGAAAATGGAGGCATTTAGTTGAATATGTATTATTGTTCACTTGAAATGAGTTAGTAAATATTTTAATGTCATCAATTTTAGTTTAACACAATAAATATCAACAGATAGAACTCCCATAAAGTAAACGTTTTGGGGTTCTTTGTGGTTTTGAGAAGCACGGAAGAGGCCTAAAACACTATTTGGGAACTGCTAGCATAGAAGGTCCCGTGAGATCATCAGCTGTCCATTTCTTCCATGCAGATCTCCCGCACCTGGACTTCCAGACTTCTTCCACTCTCTCCCCAACCCTTGTCCTTGCCTCCAAATCTTCCCTATTCTTGGTTCCTCCAACTTCCTCATCACGCTACCCTCCTCGTCACCAAGACAAGAGCCCAAAGGCCCTCTCTTCCTTGCTGCCTGATTCTGCTTCCAAGACTGCTCCTCCCTTCCAGGGATCCCATTAACTTCGTGTATTCTTAGCCCAGGGATAGGGGCATCCGAGAGCAATCGGTGTCTTTCTTGTCTGCCTCTCCTGACCAATGTAAACACCGTTAAACCATAATCGTGTTTGTTTTGCTTTGGACGGTATTCTCAGCCACACATTGGTGCTCCTCATGAAAGGGGCTCAATACTAGCAGAGAGAGGGGGCTGCCTTGCTTCCAGCCCTCCCCACGATCTGCAGGGCAGGTCCCCTCCAGCCCACCCGCATTCCCTGCATGTCTGACTCACCTGTCTTCCCTAACTCCAGTGCCCTCTTCGTCGCTTTTATGGCAGCACAGCTCTGCACCAGCCTGTGATGGCTCCCTATTTCCTAGCACAACAAATTCTTATACGTTTGGCACAACTTGATTCGCCTTTCTGCCCTACTGGGTTTCCTCCTGGCCCTCACATAACCACATTCTTCCATACAGGGCAACACCGCTAATCCAACCCCTTCCAATTTGCAGCCCTCACTCCCATCGCTGCTCTTGATGCCCATGGTGTTCTTTCCCATGACTGCACTCTACCTGCTCAGGTTATACCCACCCGTGGGAGCCGGACCTACGTCCTCTGTCTCCTCGTACCACTCGGCATACTCAGAGCATTGTTTTGGATGTTCCTTTACCCTGTACCATTCGATTGTCTCAAGGACTGGAACTCAGTTTCATCTCCTTTGTCACAGTTTGTCTAGAATGTGGTCCTGAAAAAATTCTGGGTCTCAGAGGCAAAGGAATGCCACGATTGGTCAGTGATGTCAGACAGTAGGTCCAGGGGGAGAGAGAAGGACGTAGTTAGTGATTAGTGGATTCCTGGACACTGGTCCACATAATCTCATGCCCGTGAGGCTAATGTATTCCACAGTCCCACGATCCAGTCTTTTCTTAGTACAGATACCTGGAATAGATGAAATCCTAAAGTTTGGAAAGTGCTGATCAGCCCTTCTACCCTCTCCTAATTTCAATCAGAGCCCAGCAGAACCTTCTGACCTGCTTCATCTGTCCATGGTCAACTCCTCTTCCCTGCAAAGGGAAGAAAAATGTACTTACGAGGTGTCCGCAGCCTCACTTTTCTTCCTGCCCAAATCTGTGCTGGGGACACAGCAATTCCAGCTCTACCAGGTGGCCCTTTGGCTTCCAACACACGCATGCATTTTGTCTGCTTATTACCAAAGTCATAATCTAAAGGTGCATTTTCTGAGATTTGTCTCTAGTCACTGCCACTGTTCCCATGTTAGAACTGCATCCGAGCAGGCGGGCTGAAGAAAGCAAAGTGCAGCTTTGTATGACTGGGAAATTTCTGAAGAACTACGCCGTGGCACAGTCGGGAAAATGCTCACGCTGGGGTATTCCACCGTCCGTCCGTTTCCACTTGCCACGTTCACAAGTGTCCCCCACGCCCACTTTGCTGGAGATGTCACCAGATATCTAACACTAACAATCACCTCCGTATGGAGGTTTCATGAGAGGTGAAAGCCATAAAAATAAATGTTTGTCAAGTGACACAATACCGGGAAAGCTCCAGATACCGTCAGTGAACACATTAGTACCGAGGCTCTATATCAACTTGGTTTTCCTTTCTTGTTTTAGCTGGAAAAACTCACAATATTGCAGTTTAACTTCTGTAGCTGACTTGTGACCCTGGATCCTTACTGGGCTCTAGCTCCTTCATCCAGAGAAGCTGAAAGTAGAGAGAGAAATGCGTTTAATATTTCTTCCAGCTTTAAAGTGCATGATCCATCATCTAAATTGATATCTTAAGTATTGAGTCTGTGAAATGAAATTATTTCAATTAATATTTCATACAGAAAGTGTTTTGTGATGAAAGACCAAGCTCGGATTTCAAACACGAGGAGAAAGCATTTGGCTGTTTGGAAGCGTGTGCTTTAGCCAGCCTACCTGCCTCCACTTTTGGAAAATGGTTTATAATTGCTGAATTGGGCAAGATTGGATTTGATCACCATCCCAACTGCCACTCGGTACATTCTTTGCTAAGGCATAGCAGCTTTTTACAATTTCACCATCTCCTATTCCAAATGCAATCGCAAAACCAGCAAAGTCAGAGCTGCCATTACAAAGGGAGATTTTCTTTGTCATACGATTGAACCTTTAAGGTCCCCTTTTAGCCCTTCACTTGCTCATGCACAATCTCTGCTTTCCACCTCTCCTCCCTCCAGGCATGTTTAGTTCCCCAAGATCTTTCCCCAGGAGTTACCTTCCCTGAACTCTCAGGAGGCCTGGCCTCTCCCTGTCCTAAGGGCCTCTTCCTTGGGAAAGCAAATCCGGAGTGCTCCAGTTTGCTGTCTTCATAGACAAGCCCATCTTCTTACACTTCCTAGAGCATAGCCTATCTCTGTCTTCTTACAGTTTCCTCTGCCTGAAGCAACATTTCCCCAACTGTTTGCAAAGCTAAATTCTTTTCTTTCACATTTCAACCCGCACATTAGTGTCTACACGAGGCCTTCCTGATCCCCACCTCCCCAGCGACTGCCATCCTCCCTTACTCCTTATTACTCCCAGATTAACTTCAGCAGTACATTGTGCTTGGAACTCCTTTTCCAGCCTCCGTGATCTGTTCCAGAGTGTAAGTGTGCAAGGTAGGGGCTGTTCATCTTCACAGCCCGTCAGTATCCTCAGGATGTAGGACAAGGCCTAGATGACCTCTACGGAATGCACACGTGGAAAGCAGAAAGGAGCAGGAGGGGCAGCGGGGCTGATCCCCTGCAGGAGTAGCGGCTGCCCCTCGAGTTGCATGGTCTTGCTCACCCTTGCCACCGCCTCTATGATGCAAGATACATGGTGTGGAGGTTTAAATTCGAGCTCTTCCATTGGCTAACATGGAGGCTGAGCATGTACCCAAGCACAGTTCTTCATCTAGAGTGCACTTTGCAAGGTGACTGTGAGGATAAAATGAGATCATGTCTAAAAAGGAGCAGGACGGCTGCTGGATAAATACTAATCACTCCCGTCTCCGCTCTCCCCTCCTCCAAGTGCACCAGAGCTCCTCTAACACTTTGGCTCGAGTGTGGACAAAAACGTCTCCTCCTGGTTTCCCTTAGCACATCAGAGACAGACTGGCACTTCACTCACTGCTAAGGGGAAAACAAAAGGTGATTAAATATAGAAAACAGTGGCATTAGAAAGCAGTGTGGCTTCTCCAGAAAGGAGTTTAGCTTCCATTACCGCGACTTATTTTTCAGACTCAAAGCTCTGCTGCACTTCTGAAGGGACAGATGACCTGCAGAGCAAGCCAGTCCTTCATCCATGCGCTCTCTCACTGACTTATTCGTGTCCATTGCTTCTTAAGCACCAAGTTCAAGTGCGGACCCTTTCGTCTGTGGGCTGCATGGTATTCTGGAAAAATTGGGAATCCTCAGTACAGGGAAACCAACAGCGTGCAGGGAAAGAGTCCTCGGGGCAGGAAATGTGGCACACGTGGGAAGGGAGAGGAACATGACACCAGGTACATTTGAAAAAGCTCTCACTGCTGTGTCTCTCCTTCTTCCTTTATTTCTCTTTCTTTCTTCCATTTTTTTTCTTGACACTAAAAATCTGAAATCATTATATCTGAACATTCTAACACAATCAGTAGTAGATGCAACTCAAGATTCTTTTTTTTTCTTTTTGTACTGGGGATCGAACCTGGAACCTTGTGCTTGCAAGGCAGGTGGCAGCACCACTGAGCTAAATCCCTGGCACAAGCCCTATTCTTAAATGTAGGGACGGCGGTGTGTACCGGACGCCTGTCAAACTCCCCCAGAGCAGGTGACCACAATCAAAGGCCAAGGCGCCCCCTGACTGGGGGGTGAGTGGCTGTGCCCACTCACTGCCTACTGTGCCGATGCATCACAGGCTGGAGAAGAGGTGGAGGGAGCAGCCAGGCTCTCTGCCCACGGGGTGGACTCCCAGGCTGTTGCCCACGGGGGAGGAGGCACCAGCAACCTTTGGCCACACCGAGCCCTGGGTCCTCAGCTGGTCGACCTTGGAGAAGTTCAGAAGATCCCAGAGAGAAATGAAGGCGCATGCGGCCACACAAGGGACGAAGAACAAAGCTGTTCACTCCTGGAAAAGAAACATTTGCATGTTTCAATGGCTGTAGCAAAACTGCTGTGTCAGTGGACAGCGTTGGAAGGGGCCCCACCTGCCAGGCTTTGGAACAGGTCTCTGCTCTTATTCCAGCCCCAACTGGCCCATGGCGAGGCATCGTGTGCAGGGGGTCAGAGCCGAATCGGGACACACACTTGGCATCTTTTGAAGCTAGGAGAGAGGTCAGAGA